GAGAGCGAGAGGAGAAGAGAGAAGAGAGAGAGAGAGAGGAGAGAGAGATATAGCAGAGAGATGAGAGAGAGAGAGAGAGAGATAGAGGAGAGAGAGAGCTCTAGAGGAGATAGAGAGAGAAAAAAAAACTTGTCTGCTTAGTTGCAATACTGGTAGCTTATGCCAATTTAGAGGCCTAGAAATTGTTTGATGTAAACTTATTGGCCAGTGTGTCCATGGTTTTGAGTCTGTCTGTGTGTTGAGCGCAGCGCCTTCTGCTTTTTGCAGTACAGTAACTAAAGTAAGTTAGGACTAAGCATGCCGGTAGTTTTCTGTGGACCTGTCTGTTTTTCATTTACTTCATTTGTAGCCGTAACCGGTCTATCCATCTTCGTAGTATGCTAGCCGTGTTATATATCTATGATGCTTGCAGCGGCGCTCTTTGACTGACGTAATAGTTATTGTTGTTTCCACAGTAACGCGCTTGATTTTTAAATGTATCTATTTGTTAGATTTGAACGTAATCTATGAAATATTTTAGATTAAAAAAAAAAAAGATTATTTGTTGAAAAAAAAAAAAGAGGAAAAAAAATGATATCATGATAATTTAAATTAATGAATCTGAAAACTTTTCACGGACCCCCTGGCAGAGTGCCACGGACCCCCGGGGGGTCGCGGACCCCACTTTGAGAACCACTGCTCTAAAGTACCGCAGTCTCTTCTCCTAAGTCCTTTTGAATTCTCCTATCCACTATCCCTTAACCCCGTGACGTTTCACTCAGAGGTCAAGGAATAGGAGATAGGGTTAGAATCTAGGAGCTGATTTTTGGATTATCGGAACGCAACCCTTGACTACACCTAGATTTCTGGCTCTATCTGTTGTTTTGAACATTGCAGGCTGAAGCTCAGCGCTAACTTTTATACGTTCTGCCTTGGCTCCAAAAATCATTACCTCAGTTTTATCTTTGTTTAATTGGAGAAAGTTCTGACACATCCAGTCATTGATTTGTTCAATGCACTTACTCAGTGTTTGAATTGGAGCATAGTCTCCTGGTGAAATGGTTATGTAAATGTGTGTGTCATCTGCATAGCTATGTTAACTTATTTTGTTGTTCTTCATTATCTGAGCCAGTGGTAGCATTCCCCTGCGAGATGGAGTTCATGACTTTATGAGCTGTTCATGAGCACTCATGAAACATTCATGAACAACAATATGTTCACTTGTCATGTTCATGAACCAAAATTCTTAAAATGCTCATGAACCATTTTAAAGAGCAGTTCATGACATTTTTATGAACATTGTTCATTCATATAAAGTTCCTGTTTTGCTCATGACAGACTTTTATGAGCAATTTATGAACTTTTCATGATCCAGCCAATCACAAAATTAAAATTAAAACCCCAAAAAGTTTGCATGAGCATTTCATGAATTTTGGATGATGTGGCAAGTTCAGAATATTTTTGAATATTCATGAGCATTTTATGAACTTTTGATGATCAGTGCGATGATTTTAAAGACCTCTTGAATATTCATCTACTATTTGAACATTTATTTATTTTTTAAAACTTTTAATCTTAAAACAAAACAATAGTGAATTTGAAACTGATTTTAATCATGTTAACTCATTCTGACTAGAAATTTAAATAAATGAAGATACAACATGTACATACAATGTACATGGATATATGGAATAAATAAATACATATTCTAATCAGGTACATAGAGTACATTACAATTACACTGTTGCATACATGTGTACACATGAAATAATCTTTAAGTTGAGAATTCACCCCACACACATAATTGGCTGGACAATGTTTATAGTCAGGTTGCACACTGTTGGCTACAACACAATTGTCCCACAGTTGAGGAAATGCTTCTTATTTGAAAACAGAGCGTCCATACAGGTTTGGAATCTGAGCGACAAATACATGTCTTGTACCTGTATCAATATATAACAGTTTTTCTCTGATGCTATTTACAGACACAACATCTGTTGTGACCTCATGTTCCGCCTTCTTGATCAACACAAGATGGTTGCCTGCATACTGCAGCATTGAAGGGCGGTTTGTATCCCTTTCCATCAATGAAATGAATGCAAAAATGCATTTCGCCTCTGAATTCAGAATGAAATATTTCACTGACGCCAACCTACCATCATCAAACATGGCAACATGACAGACGCGCCGCCTCATTCGAGGGTACTCCTCCGAATAAAGTTTCTGGTGTTCTAGCTTCACTCTGAGTGCTTTCCGCAAGACAGCGGACGTTGATGCTCCAGTCTTCACCAACAGTTCACTGCTAGCAGACATTGGTTTCAGTGCACCTGCAGTGCCACAGTTGGCCTGAACCATGTTCACCTTTGACCAGTTTGTCCTGTCTGTGATGGTACCACCTTCTCTGTGGAGGACACCCTGGGTTTCTTTGAAGCGGATGACTTGCTTGGTGACATTCCCTGTGCCATGGACTGCTTGCAGGATCATGGCGTTGGCATCCTCGAAGCAAAAACAGCTCCATGCCCACAATGGTCCCCACTGCCTCACACACGACACGAGATGCACACCAGCATTGTGGACATTGGTTCCACATGAGCCGGCACCATAGCAGTCAGCAAAGTCTTTGTAGAAGATGTCCAGTAAAGAAGCTGCTATCTCCAAGCTTTCAGCTGTGATTTCATCCCCCAGAAGAATGTGAACAGCCTCAGACAGGTGAGCAAAGTGACGAAGGTATTTATCACCCAGTATGCCATCCAGGCACGGCAAAGCATAAAACAAAAGCCACATCTGGAACTCTGTTGCTTTGAAATGATTGTAGTGCAGTTCTAGGTCTCGTGGTAGTCGCTCAATGAAATCTGGTGGCTGTATATGCTGCAGCCTCTTTGAGATTTCCTTCAGTTTCTTGCCAACAAAGTATGGCTGCCCACTTCCCGTCGGAGAGAACCATTTGTTCGTCACAGTTTTTGTCACCCCAAGAATAATGCCGTGCATGTATTCTGGCACAACACCATGCACAAGGTCGAACTGTTGCAATTCTGACAAGCCTGAGACGCCTTTGAAACCCTGCACTCGTTTCTTTGGTGTTGCAGTGTGCATGGCTGCTAGGACGTCTACATGCAGTCTCGTAGCATATTGTTGGTTTGCTTCTCTGTAGGGGTAACGGAGCGTCCACACAGCAGCGTGCGTTGACGCTTGGAGGTGGGCATATCTGAAGCTTGGGGATTTTTTGCGAGCAACGCGACCAACAACCAATCACCTGAATCTCCCGCCCCTGACATACAAAGCAATAGCAAAGTTAAAACGAAGTAAACTGGATATAAAATCTCCAAACAGGCGAAAACCTACCAGTTTCACCCACTGTCTCTGCCACCTCCCTCCATGCCTCGCTCCTCCGGTTTGTATCCCGGTAGATCAACAGAGACTGATCATACAGCACCGGGTGATTCACTACCGCTATAATGAATTTTCCCTCCATTTTTTTGAATATGAGGAAATGACCTGCGTAGTCTCTCCCAGCATACACGCGGTTTGATTGGCTAGCGATTGTATTGGCAGATTTGCATAAACGGGATTTCATTGGCTGACGCCTCTGTCGAGGCGTCAAAAGTTGAACATTGCTCAACTTTTGACGCCAGCTACGCCAGCAACGCTCCACGTCGCTTCCCAAAATGCAGTTCGGCTAAAAGTGACGTCACCCCATTCAAAGTGAATGGGCAGAAGCGTTGGAAGCTTCAACGCACGCCGCTGTGTGGACGGGCCGTAAGACCGGGCAAGGCCTTTGCCCTGCCTAACCACAATTCTCGGTTCCTTACATGTGATGCATGCGTCCGCTCCATTGAACAATGTCATGTTCATGATGCCTGCTTTGGCTGGCAGATCTACTGTTGCACACAGGACAGCCAGCTTTGCAGTCACTGTCTAGTCATCGACCACAAACTGAAAGCCAGTGGTGTACAGTTTGTTCATCTCTTTGGTGAATGCCCCCATGAACTGTTCAAATGGTGGTTTCCCTCTTCCCTGCCAGATGCCTGCAAGCACAATATTTTGTCTTGCAAACCGCCTCTGTGGTTCCAGTTCATTGATAGTCAAGAAGATTGGCCACAGTTCAACTCTTGATGACTGGTACAGGTTCAGCCCATCTGTGTTCGCTATCACTGTGATGTTGCAATTTCCTGGACCAGACAGAAATCCACCATCTTTGAAGAGTTGTCGATAGCAGGAGCCGTCCGTTACATCACACACAGTGGTGTCATTTCTCTCTGATGCAGCCACTTTGGATGTCTGCACTGCTTCCCAGACTCCTGCAAAATAGGCAAGTACACCATTTTTAATTTTGTTTCAAATGAATAGTATTAAATGTATAGCATCATGAATGTTACTAAGTGAGTGAATGTTTACTATACCACTGCTGTGGGTCTGAAATGTGATGTCAAAACATGTTTGGAACATTATTTGTATTTGTATTAATTATTTGGATTTTTTTTAAACTTCAAAAATAATGTTTGTCCAATTTAACACGTTAATAATACATTATTGTTGTTTGCATAAGTTTGCAAGCTACCTTCAGCTTTGAGTATGTTGGTCAGCTGCTTGGCGACATCTGCCACCACAAAGAACTTCCTTGGTCGTCGTCCCTTTTGCGTCTGCTTGGGCAGTGCCCCCAAGTGCCGAAGCCCAGGACAGTTGTGGGTTGCACAGCGATACTGTTCCAGATCATCGGGGAAGACAGTGTTGCACAGTTCACAATAATGAACTTCTGTCATGCTGCTTTTCCCAGCTATGTTCCACAAAGTTTCAAACTTGATGTCCTTCAACATGGTTGATTCAGGGCTTATTTTTTTCATTAGTCCCAGCATGTCCTTGGAGGCTGCCGTTGACAATTTATGCTTCAAAAAGCATGACAAAATTGACAGTTTATGTATCCCCATATCAGAAGAATCTGCATCATGAGATGTCCCAGCAGAATAATTTGACCCTGATGAATCTGAATCCGAATCTGAATCTGAGCTTGTGTTCATACTTGACTAGTCTGTGCTCATGCTCGTTGAGTCTGTAAGGTTGACACTAATAACACCATCAGAGTCACGCTGCTCACCACTGGTGTCGGATATGTCTCCCACATCCAAGGAAGCATCATGCTGCTCATCACTACCACTGGTGTCAGATATGTCACCCACATCCAAGGAAGCCCTGGCATGATGATGCTCGTCACCACCACCAGTGTCAGACATGTCATCCACATCCAAGGAAGCATAGTGCTTCTCGTCACCACCACCGCTGTCATCCACATCCAAGGACAGGTGATCTCCTTCATCAGGCCTGTCATCACTGCCACTGTCCAATGGGTGCTTGTATGCCGGCTTTGGGTCTGTAAAGTAAAACAAGAGTACTTTTGTTCACTGGTATTGTTGGCCTATTTAAATAAGATATAGGAGTGAAGTGCACCTTCCCATAGTATAATGATTGATTACAAGCCACAACAAAAAATGAAAATGTAAATGAAAAAAACCCATTACTATATATTAGAAAGTAATATTTGCGGCCGTTTTAAAAATAAAATAAAACCAACGCACGCCAAAATGTCCCATTTTACAGTAATAATATTACATGTTGCCTATCAGCAGTGTTGGGAAAATACTTCCAAAATGTAATATATTACTTATTACTCTCTTTTGAAAGTAATAAGTTACATTACAATATTACTGTCTCTGAAATGTAATGAGTTACACTACTTTAGTTACTTTTTGAGTTACTTTCACCAAAATAACCGCAAAAGAATCTACCCGCACAATTTGTCTGGTGTCGGAATGTCTCTATGTTAGTACATTCTTAAAAAACAAATCACCATTTAATTTCGGGTTGAAATGTGTTGTAACTGCGTTACTGGGCATTGTAACGGGTAATATATTACCCACATTTCATAAGTAATGCGTTACATTACTTCGTTACAGCAAAATGTAATATATTACTGTAACTCCGTTACTTTTGTAACGCTTTACACCCAACACTGATTATCAGATTATATAAAGGCTATTAGCTGCCTCACTAATAGAATGAAAATCCCCACCCCCCAACAACATTCTATCTCTACAGACTACACCACATGATGCACTGTCCACAAACCTTTTTTTGACGTGAGCTGTTTCCATCTGTGCATAGTGCGCTTGGGAACTGGAACAACAGGATCATCTTTGTAGAGTTTTGTCTTTCTTTTCACTGGACCTGCAATGCACATCAAACATAGCCATGCATTTTGGAGCATACACTTCAGCTGCTGTGTCAGCCTGTGAACGCATTTTAGGTGGGCGATAGAGGTGTTTCAAGTTCGCTGCTGAATTATTGTTCCATCCACCACTAATTTAAGTAACAAAAACTCTACAAATCACTTCCTCTGTCATTATACTCTTAACACATTTATAAAATAGAAATGGATGGCATCACTGGATGGTAGATTACGATGGATGTAAACTGTTTGTCATTATCCAATCTGAATCAACAGCAAGGAAGGTGGCAGACATTGTTGGATGTTTTCCTTTCTACGTACATGTATCTTTTAGACTGACTCTAGTCGATTTTGACTTAGGCCTAGTCTACATGTACTGTACATCTAACTGACAGAAACTGTGACTTACTTTGGTTGTGTGCAGTTTCAAGGTGCTTGGAGATATTCTGCTTTGACGCGAGGTGCCTGGCACAAAAATCGCATCTGTATTTCGTCTTGCCATCGTTGTCGTGAATCACCTCAAAGTTAGAGGATTTTCCCCCAGTGTCACGGTGAGCAGTCAATTCAGCCATCAGTCAGTCAGTGCTGCTTTATTATTTTTGATACATAACCGACCAAAACCCTTGAAAACAAGCAATCAACAACACAGACACAGATAAACTGTTGAGGAAGTTGCTGCGCATGCAGTGCCAGTTCAATGAGAAACGAGAGCTCTGATTGGTTGGCAGTAATTTCCCCGCAAAATGTGATAGAACAACACTTGTGATTGGCCCCCACATTAACTGGCGCCAACCGTCATCTTTAGACTTTACAGTCAGTCAGCTCTAGTCTTCACACTTGAAGTCCGCTTTTATTGCCTTTGTCAATATTTACTCAACCGTTACGATGTCGATGCCGGTGGCTTGTCCGTGGGGGATCTTCGAGTGGTGTGAGGAGGGCGGCAATTACAATGTCTACAAGTTGTCCGAGATAAAGGAGCCACGAAAGGCCTTCAACGAGTACAAATTGGGAGAGGTGGTCTCGGCCACATTCAACCGCGGAAAGAGAGCTTTTCCGGCCAAAATCCAGGGAATTTCTGGTGAGTCTGCTGTTTATTAAAATTACAGTACAACTCAGCTGTACTACATTGACATTGATGATTGGGCCCATTTTGGGGGTAACTGTCATGACTGTTTGTTTGTTTGTTTGTTATACGTCTCGCACTGGTCCTACACATAGACTGTAAATATAAATGGACGTAGTGGCGGGACCTGCTGCTTCCGAACTGGAAGTAAAACAGAGCTAGCTCAGGCTAAGAAGCTAAGCTAACATGAAATACATGCATACCAAGTTACTGCTAACAGTGTAGTTCCCCTATATAAACGTTACATTCATAATAAAATGAGACAATCTGCAAGAGAATTAGCTATATTTAGTTATTCTTAATGCTTGTCATTCACACATTGAGAAAAGACGGACTCCACCGCCCGGACCTAACGGAGCCGCAGTGGGCTAGCTCCGGGACGCCGGCTGGAGCTAGCCCCCTGCGGCTCCGTTAGCTCCGACGGCCACCATTGGGATAATTGAGTCCCCTATTAACATTTGCTCCCGTTTAGCATTATGGGCGTCATAGCCATAGACTATAAAAGTCTTACCCAAGGCTGAATCATAAACTAAAATGTATATGTATGTATAAAGGGTTACGTCCTTAGCTGGCTAATAAGTAGCAAGCTAAGCTACCAAGCACACAAACACCTGCGAACGGGGTTAACATGTATAATATTATAATTTTAGACTTCTTGGAAGTTCTGTTAGTACATTCAAGCGCACAGCACAACATTTTAATTGTCTGGTATTTGTAACAATATTCCCTAAAAGGCACAATCACCACGAACACGGCTAAAGGGTCAAGTACAGTCACATTCCTGTCCTACTACCAACAAAAAGAGAAAGAAAGATTTACAGTAGACTTGTAACAGCAGTATTTATCTACACAAAAAGTAAGACACTTACATGAACATGTGCTGTGGGATGTGTAGTCTGTAGACTAGAATAGACTACCACAGACTTTGGCACAGTCACTGTACTTTCATCTGCATGGACTGAGACAGACTGACTGGCCATTTTCATTTAAAATAAATTAATCCACATTTTTATTTATTGCAGAAAATAAGGCACAGCTTGAGCAGGACTACCTGGAGGGTCGTCAGCATGTGCCAGCAACTCACAGCGACAGTGAGACAGACTCAGAGACAGAGCCTGTCGAGTGGCACCCTCTGAGTGCCAGTGTCACCTACAGTGTGTCGAAGTCCAAGACCAGTGTGAATGGCAGTGCCGCCCCACGTAGAGAGGCTTCTGGTCAGGAAAGGTATGCAGGAATGTACTCAAAACCAATACCCAGTTTTATATCCCGTGAATTTGAAAGTGGTAACTTTTAATCCTGCGATAATTATTTTTATAATTAATTAAACTATTAAGTTGACAAACATTCCAAAAAATGACAAAGGAAATCACGAGTGTTCAAAATGCTAATACATTTTATATTTTTAATATCGTTACAGAAATCGTCTCCAGATAAAAAAAACTGTGGGCGCCACCAATGCAGCAGCACGTCTTGATGCAGCTTCCGCCCCTCTGCCTCTGCCTCAGCCTACATCCAAGGCCACCAGCTCCAAGACTGCCAAAGACGGGTCCATGGCTAATCACGACAGGTGTGTAAGAATTTACTCAGTTTAACCCTTTACATACATTTCTTTAAAAAATCCTGTGGTAACTAGCATTTGAATTTGAATTAGGATTTTAATAGGCTACATGCACAGTCACTTCCGCATTCTACTCATAGCGGCCGATTCATTTCCTGTTTGAAAATGACGACCTTCTACACCCGCTGCCTACAAGAGCTTCCGAAATTAAAAATGTCAGATGTTCATCGGATTTGCCGGACGACTAAAGCCCCAGCCAGCAAACTCGATAAAGGCTTCAAATTATATGCTGCGTCATATATACACAACTATGAAGGTAAGAAGGTAACCGGTACTAACCAGCTAGCTCCGGGTTACGCTAACATTAGCTGTCAAAAGCTAGGTAACGCCAGAGCCCTATAGTATAACTACTATTATTATTATTATTATTATTATTATACTACTACTATAGTAGACTACTATAGGGCTCTGGGTAACGCTATGTACTGTTTCTGGTGTTAATTATTTAAAACATTAGCCATTTTGCTAACAAATACTATCGTTTAATAGCCTTATAGCCTAGCCAAGGTTGTCTTGTTGTTAGCCACACTGCATAATGGTATCAGCTTTTGTAAAGCAATGTTGCCATAGATGTTTTGACGTGAGTATAGATCTAACGCTGTTGCTCTGTTTTTCTTCATTCAGTGTCCAATAAAGACAGGCTGACAGGGCAGGTCAGCGTGAGAGCCTTGTGCTACAGGTCAATGCGGAAGAGCGAGACAGCACACAGTTTGAGTGTAGGCAGGCAGCATTGACACTGTTCCCCCCTGTTTATTGAGTTTCAGTTCAGTTAAACATTAGTTTACCTTAAGGGAATCTCAACAGTGTCCTACTTCTCCCTGCTTTATCACAGCTGATTGGTCAGATATTATTACATTGATTATGGATGTGTAAGTTTCGGGGTTAAAATATATAGTCAAAACTGCTTTAATACAATTTTCAATATCTTAGTTTCCAAAGAAAGTTCATTGTGGTATTGTAGGGTAAGAGGGTAACACTAAGCATTCAGGAATACATGCTTCTTCTAGGATAATGGGTCAGTAAAAATAACCAATAATTCTACTCATAATAACCTCCTGGCTCATAGTAACAAGTGAGGTTACTAATCACTAGTATTTCTTCTCTCTTTTTTAGATAACGCTTCGTGATTCATCACCAGTGGTGCTCACGCACAACCAGTGCTCCTGTGTTGCAGGAACTGTTTTGTGCAATCACACAGTAGCATTGCTGTTCCAAACAGCACACTACACTGAACTGAACATGCCAGTTGTGCCACCTGTGCATAGCTGTACTGAATCGGAACAGCAATGGCACAAGCCGCGAACAATGGTAATTTCAATGAGGTTCAAATACTTGTAATCTTTCACAGAGTTTTTTGTTTTAAAGTGACTCAACGAACAGTAATTGTCTTTTCCTTAAGGGTGTGAAGCCAGGGCCCATCAACTCCATGGTCTTCACCAAGCCTGTACCAAATAGGATGGTGCAGACTGGAGTAAGGTAATTTTAGCTGGAAAATTGTGTTTCCTGTATTTTTAAAATTCATAATTCTGGTGCTGTATTCCTAACCTTTATTGTCACATTAATGTGCTATATTTTCTTTGCCATTATTTGTAGGAGTGGATTCTACAGAGGCATGGTGGGGCCATTACCAGATCCCTGCCTGTTCAGAGTTACGGAGGCATACTCAGCATTCAGCATTGAAGACAGGCCGCTTGTGACCACAATGAACATGAGACCTGACAAGCCCCTTGTGGAAAGTGCCTTCGGGATTGTGCAGGAGGGCAGTGTTCTGTCCTATCAGATGCCTGCTTTGACGTCTCGGTACACCACACTTCACACTGACACACCACCAACACCCCACTTGCCCATAGAGGGGTATGTGATCTTGCCATGTGATTTACCGCTGGTGTGCTCAGAAGAGGAGCAACTACATATGAACAGCTTATCTGTTGATTTGGAAATGTCTCACAAAATTGAGGAGGCTACCCGTGAGCAAAGCTCTAGCTCAGAGTGGCATCTGCTCCGCAAACCCAGGGTTACTGCCTCTAGGTTTAGAGAGATTTGTCACGTCAGAGGTGAGAGCTCTGCTAACTCTCTTGCAGAGCGAATACTCAAAGGTACAAGGCAGACTGCAGAAATGAGGAGAGGTGCCAAGATGGAGCCCACAGTAGCAGCTGAATACAGTAGACTGGCAAACGTGAACTACTCCCCTTGTGGCCTTGTCATTCACCCCTCTACGCCCTGGCTTGGTGCCTCCCCTGATGGAGTTGTTTTTGACCCAACAGAATATCCCCAATTTGGCCTTGTTGAATTCAAATGTCCCAATGTCCCAAATTATGTCGACTGCAAATATGTGCAGATAGAATGTGGCTCCCCTAAGCTCAAGAAAAGCCATGCCTATTACTGGCAAGTACAGGGTCAACTTCTTGTATCTGGGATGCAGTGGTGTGATTTTGTAGTGTGGGCACAAGAGGACTACCTGGTGCAAAGAATATACACAGATCCAGAAGTGCAAAGAGCAATCAGAGAAAAAGTAGACTTTTTTTTTTTACACACATACATGCCGAAGTACCTGTCATTAAAAAAGTAGTGGGCACTGTAGCCATTGTTAACTCTGTAAGCAGTTAGCTGCTAGACCCTGGATCAGCCATCATTGTTTTTAGGAGGCAATCCCTCAATCATGTGTTCTGAATGACAACAAAATGTGATTTCAATATTTTGTTTTTGATATATATTGTTTGTCACATTTCATATATGTAAATAAATATACAATTGTATTTAAAAAGACAATAAAGTGAAGTGATTTGTGTAATGAATAGTAAATCATTGCATTTGTAAGAAATCATCAACGCATTGTAATTTGCTATTTACCATTTATTCAAACAAAACACTAGCGTGTGTCAGGCAACACGGGATTACGGTGTGCTCACCCAGCTTAATCACAGCTACCTGCACAGGTGTCATCATCTTGTCTTATTTCACCCATTTCTTGACCAGTGCTTTGTTCTGATAGTTTGACAGCATACATGCTACTGCAAACAGTTGGTTGATGTTGTAGGCATGGGACAGGAGGATGACACCATCAAAAAGTTTGTTCTCTTTTATCCTCCTAATGACACGCTCCACATGAACCCTCAGTCTGGCAATGGCCTGTGTCTCCCTCACCTGATAGGCTGGCATTTGCTTCTGCTTTGACAGAAAAGGTGGGCAGTACACCTTGCATTTGCAGCAATCGCTGATCAGGAAGCCCTTATCTACCATCACTGCCATGTTTTCAGTCAACAACGCAGCTATTCCAGATTGTTTGAAAATCTCCTTGTCGCTGACAGAACCACCATACAGACTGGAAACAAATGTCACTGCGCCATGTGGGGCTATGCCAACCAGGGCTTTCATGGTGCAGTGAGATTTGTATGTAGAATACATTTCACTTTGGAGGAGGAGTGAGGATGGTGTTTGACACCTCAGCTCTGTGCAATCCAGGATCACCTGTGTGTCTGGGAAATCTTTGAATGCCTCTGGGAGGTGGGCTTGCAGGTGTAAGCCAGATGCACTGTGACCCCAATAAAGTTGTAAGAAAACTCGTCCATATTGCAATGATGCGGCTCACAGTGGACTGGTGTACGTTGAAGCGGTTTGCAAGGTCCCTCTCTTTCAAACCCACCGACAGGAAGCAAAGAAAAAGGAAGAACTCGTCAATTGGCTGAAGCAGCTGTCTCTGGAAGATAAACAAAAAAAGGGTACTATATTAATGTCATGAGTGTAGCACACCATGGGAAAAACATTAAGTTGTTTTAGTTCTCTGATGTATTCAAAAAGGATTGAGTACTATAGCCTTTTAGCCTACACGAAAGCAATGAAATGTCGGATAAACATTTTCCCTTCAGTTTGTGTTTAGATTGTGTGTTAAAAGAAACGTAGCCTACCGTTGATGGACGTGCGTGTGTAACCACTTCTTCATTCCTCTTGGCAGCTGATATCGCTCTTGTAACACGAACCATTTTATAAATGGAAGGCTCAATCAAAAACCAGAAAGCCATCAGGTGGTTATAGCTCGGGAATCTGTACACAAAAGACACATGTCAGTCATTAATTGACTCGTTAACTGTAACACATGGGCTAATGCTTTCCTCTTGTTTGCTATAATACATTACAATTCAAATAGACTGATTAAGAAGGCACTTGGTGCAGGTATAGTAATATACAGCAGTAACATGTAACAACTACATTAAAGCAGCAGTAATAATAATCTAAAACATACAGGGAACATTTTACACAGAATGACTACTTTTACTCTTCATTCTTAAGTGTGCAACTGGGAGAAACGCAGTGGATATTGACATGTACTTTTACTTTGGTAAGGTTTTGAAGATTTCCACTTGTAGTAAAGTATTATCAGTATGTTGTTAGTATTAGTATGTTTTACTCCACCACATTTAGTTAACCTTCATAGTTTCTAGTTACTTATGAAAACACATGATTTATGATTCTACATGTTCAGTTCAGGAGTATTTTCAAACCATAGTATTTGTACTTATACTTCAGTTAAGTTGAGTAGCCTACTTATTCCAACACTGCATGCAAATAGTCAGCAGTCAAACGGCAGGTAAACAGGATTCTTTATAAGCTAACCCATCTCAAAAACTTGGATAGAATTTAGCCAAAACATTACCTGGTATAGAATCGGATGTTGTCGTCGGAGCCAGCAAACCGCTGTAAGCAAAACTCTCGCTGGACTCTTAACTCCTGCAGTTGCTTCTGCAGATCCTCCACTGTTTTGGAGTTGTATTCTGTAGCTTGAGAGGACATGTCCAGTGAAGCTGGTTCAGGGGTTGAGCAGTAATCATGGTCACGGACATCGATGTGCTCTTCCTGCTCCTCCCGAGAGACTGGTTCAGTGGGCCGCTCCCTTCTCTCCCAAACACTAGCCCGCGGTGTTTGAGCAGTGAAGTGATTCCACTCAAACAGAGTTGGGACAGCACCTTTCACAAGCCTCCTACGGCCATCAAGGGTTTTTGGCTCTATTAGTTGATCCGTAGCGAAGTGACGACTGCAGACCTTGGAGTGAGAGGAGATTGTAAAGTTATCGTGTCGTATTTTAACCAGCCACTGTCTTCGCAGCTCGAGTTCGGTCGGAAAGCCATGGAAACTTAGGACGCCGTTGAATTTAGCTGACGCCGTACAAAGTGGGACACAGCAGTGCTCGGAGTAGTTTTTTACTTGTCTTTGCAAATGCTCCGTTTTGAAAATCTTCCGTCGACTCATATTTAAACCACAGATTTAAACAGTAAAACATTTGTGGACGCTCAGCTACGCAGACCAGAAGCAACCCGGAAGCGTCCGAGTAGTATAACGGCTAAGGCGGAAGTACGTCGCAGACCCTAGTGCATGTAGCCTATTAGGCTATGATGGACAAACATTCCAAAAATAGTGAAATTGCCCCGCCCTTATCCTGTGTTAATATTATAATATAATTGGTTTTTGTTGAATTGTTAAACTAATTATGCCAAAGGAACTCTACTCTTCAAAATGTGGCTATTACATTTTATTTTTTAATATCTTTACAGGAAAAGGATACACCAGCTGGAGGAGACGGTGAAGGCGATAGAGAAGTCCTACAAGAGCCTGAAGAAGAGGATGCGCACACTGGAGGATGGTGGTGCTCCTGCCAAACAGCCCGCAGCCGTCGATGCAGCTCCAGCAGAAGAGATGTGCAACGGGCAGACCATCACGTCACTGGAGGCCAGTGTCTCCCATTTGGCTGCGGGGGAGAAGGACCTGCTGGCGGTTGTCAAGATCCTGGCCCTGAAGGCAAGGCAAGGCAAGGCAAGGCAAGGCAAGTTTATTTATATAGCACTTTTCAACACAAGGCAATTCAAAGTGCTTTACAAAAAATGAAAGAGATTAAGAAAATGGCATTTAAAATCAGTCATTAAAAAGAAAAGCTAATAAAATAAACATTAAAAGAAAAAATACATGGATAAAAGTTACAGTGCTGTCAATTAAACATTAAAAGAAAAAAGTACATGGATAAAAGTTACAGTGCAGTCTAAGATATGAATAGTTCAATTAAAAGCAGCGACAAAAAGAAAAGTCTTCAGCCTGGATTTAAAAGTAGTCAGAGTTGCAGCGGACCTGCAGGTTTCTGGGAGTTTGTTCCAGATATTTGGAGCATAATAACTGAACGCTGCTTTACCATGTTTAGTTCTGACTCTGGGGACAGAAAGCTGACCAGTCCCTGAAGACCTGAGAGATCTGGATGGTTCATAATTTAGCAGGAGGTCAGAAATGTATTTTGGGCCTAAACCATTCAGTGCTTTATAAACCAGCAGCAGTATTTTGAAATCTATTCTTTGACACACAGGAAGCCAGTGTAAAGACTTCAGAACTGGAGTGATGTGATCCACTTTCTTAGTGTTAGTGAGGACTCGAGCAGCAGCGTTCTGAATTAGCTGCAGCTTCCTAATAGATTTTTTAGTGAGACCTGTGAAGACACCATTGCAGTAGTCCAGTCTACTGAAGATAAAAGCATGGACAAGTTTTTCCAAATCCTGCTGTGACATTAGTCTTTTAATCCTAGATATATTCTTTAGGTGATAGTAGGCTGATTTAGTAACAGTTTTAATGTGACTGTTGAAACTCAGGTCAGAGTCCATGACTACACCTAGATTTCTGGCTTTATCTGTTGTTTTGAACATTGCACACTGAAGCTCAGCGCTAACTTGTATACGTTCTGCCTTGGCTCCAAAAACCATTACCTCAGTTTTATCTTTGTTTAATTGGAGAAAGTTCTGACACATCCAGTCATTGATTTGTTCAATGCACTTACTCAGTGTTTGAATTGGAGCATAGTCTCCTGGTGAAATTGTTACGTAAATTTGTGTGTCATCTGCATAGCTATGGTAACTTATTTTGTTGTTCTTCATTATCTGAGCCAGTGGTAGCATGTAGATGTTAAAGAGAAGAGGCCCCAAGATGGAGCCTTGAGGAACCCCACATGTCATATTTGTCAACTCAGATGTGTATTTACCTATAGAAACAAAGTTGTTTCTGTCCTTTAAGTAGGATTCAAACCAATTCAGAACTGTTTCCGAAAGTCCCACCCAGTTCTCCAGTCGGTCTAGTAATATGCTGTGGTCAACAGTGTCAAACGCAGCACTGAGATCTAATAATACTAACACTGAAGTTCTGCCACTGTCTGTGTTTAAGTGGATGTCATTAAAGACCTTTACAAGAGCAGTCTCAGTGCTGTGGTTTGGACGAAAGCCTGACTGGAACACATCAAAACAGTCATTTAAATGCAAGAAATTACTCAACTGTTGAAAAACAACTTTTTCAATGATTTTACCTAGAAATGGGAGGTTTGATATGGGCCTGTAATTGTTCATTACTGAAGCATCTAGATTATTCTTTTTTAAGAGCGGTTTAATGACTGCAGTTTTCAGGGCCTGTGGAAAAATACCTGAGTGAAGAGATTTGTTTACTATATGAAGTAGATCTGAGGCCATGCAAGGCAAAACATCCTTGAAAAAATCCTGTTGGAATAATATCAAGGCAGCAGGAGGAGGATTTCAGAAGTTGAATAATGTCCTCTAGGTTTTTATCATTAATCTGATGGAATTGTGTCATGATGTCTGAATTGATGTTAAGTGGAGATAGGGACAACACATTTGCTGTTCCTGATGCAGAGGCACTGACTGCTTGTCTGATTTTCTGAATTTTGTCAGTGAAAAAGGAGGCAAAATCATTGCACGCCCTGGTGGATAGAAATTCAGAGGCTACTGACACTGGGGGGTTAGTTAGTCTGTCGACGGTAGCAAACAAGGCACGTGCGTTGTTTTTGTTTTTGGTAATGATGTCAGAGAAGAACGATTGTCGTGCGTTTTTCAATTCCAAATTATAGAGGCCAAGTCTCTCTTTATAGATTTCAAAGTGAACCTGGAGATTTGTTTTTTCGCCACCTGCGTTCAGCTTTTCGACATTCTCTTTTTTCTGTTTTCACGGTCATGGCCTTTCTCCATGGAGATATTTTCTTGCCAGACACTTCCTTTACCTTAGTTGGAGCAATGGCATCTATAACATTTTTAATTTTTGAATTAAAATGATCTACTAGCTCATTTACTGAGATGTTGGCAGGGGCAAGTGTGGAAGAGAAATTCTGAGTAAACATTTCCCTAGTGTTTTCAGTTAAATATCGCTTTGTGGTTACCTCTTTTTGAACATTTTTGTGAACAGAAATAGAGCTCTCAAAGAAAACACAGGAATGGTCAGAGAGTGCAACATCAGTCACCACAACCTTAGAGATATTCAGACCCTTTGAGATAATTAAGTCCAGAGTGTGCCCCTTATTGTGCGTGGGCTCCGTCACATGCTGAGTCAGTCCATAGCTATCAAGAACACAAAACAGTTCTTTAGCCCCTCTGTCCTGGGGGTTGTCAACATGGATGTTAAAATCACCAACAATGACTAGACGGTCAAAGTCAATACACACTATAGACAGCAGTTCAGTAAAGTCATCAAAAAAGCTTGCACAGTATTTGGGTGGTCTATAGATATTTAGGAACAGAGCTCGAGAGGAGCATTTCAGCCGGAGGGCCACATATTCAAAAGAATCAAAGTTTCCATAAGATGTCTTCCTGCATTGAAGGGAATCATTGAACAGAATAGCAACTCCACCCCCTTTCTTATGCATTCTTTCCTGACTCATAAAACTAAAGTTGGGAGGGGGTTGATTCGATAAGAACAGCTGCACTGTTATTTTGTTCAATCCAAGTTTCTGTTAAAAACATAAAATCGAGATTGTGCTCAGTGATAAAATCATTGATTAAAAATGTTTTTCCTGCCAAAGACCTGACATTTAATAAAGCTAGTTTAAGTTTGTTAAACACACTATCAGTCATGTTTTTTGTAACAAGCTGTGGCTGACATGGAATCACTGCTAAATTAGATACACTCACACAAACGTTTGAGCGCTTCCTGTTTCTATGATTCACCGCTCTTAATCTATTACCTATCAACACAGATATCGGCAAAGCTACTGGCAGGCAGGGCCCCGACATGTCCTTGAAAGAGTTGAGAGTGCCATACGCCCTTGAGCCTGGACCCATCACATATCAGTAAGAGTTTGTTGTGTTTTGTACACACACATCCTTATCAGGCTTCGGAGACTGCAGAAGCCCCCTCGAAGGGAGGGGAGGTGGTCGACGTAGGCACGGTGATGGAGACGGGCTAGATGGTGCGGGGGTAGAGGACATGCTGCCAGGGGGGGGAGGTGGTTGACGTAGGCGCGGTGATGAGGACGGGGGAGATGGTGCGCGTCTCCGCGGTGATTTTGGTGGGCGTCGTTGAGGAGCGGGGGTAAAGGACATGGTGCCAGCCCTGCGTATCGCCTTCGTTTGGTCTTTGAACTCCAGGAAGGAATCGGTGCCAACCCTCTGTATCTCCTTTGTGTGTTCATTGATCTCCAGGAGGGTGGGCGAGGGTGAAAGGGTGAACGGAGTATCCTCAAAGGCGTTGACAGGGGGGGGGGGCAGTGGAGACTCCTCCATGTGTCTCATATGTCTCCCATAATCAGAACATTCCTCAGGCGGGTGCAGTGATAATTCTTCAGGGTTTTCTGCGTGATGTGTTGTGTCTTTCTCGTGTTTTGATTCCTCCTGCCGCTTGTCCTTGGCAGAGGGAACAGATTGATGACGCAGGCAGTTGAATATGTTAGAGATAAACAATTTCACTCCTGACTTGTTCAGGCAAACTCCATTTGCCTTGAAAAGATGTCTGCGATCCCAGAAAAAGTTAAAATTGTCAATAAAATGAACAGAATGGTCAGTACAGACAGTTGAAAGCCAGGTGTTCAGTGCAAACAATCTGCTGAATCTCTCCACTCCTCTTCTGACTGGCGGTAGAGGGCCACTGATGAACACCTCTGCATTTAGAGAGCTGGCAGTTTCCAACAAACATTTAAAGTCTTCTTTCAGCACTTCTGACTGTTGTTTCACAACATCATTTGTTCCAATGTGCAGTACCACATTCTTCACAGTCGGATGTTCAGCCCCAATATGCAGGATCTTCTCAGCCAAGTCAGAGACCACATCCTTGGGAAAACAGAGTACTTTGGTGTTGTTTCTTATTACACAGACCTTTTACATCTCTTACAGCAGAGTCACCCACAATCAGAGTTTCAGGCCCAGTCGTTAGCTTTCCCTCTAGCCTTTTACTTTTAGAGTAGCTATTGGTCCTTACCCTGCTGCGTGAAGAGGACAGGTTATCCAGGTCATCAGATCTCCGGTTCTCGGTCAGCGGAGCATATCTGTTCTGGATTGGCACACTTGGTGGTTTAG